GAGGTGCAAAAGTCTGATAATCAACCACCTGGACACCCTGAACTGATAGCACAGGAAGTAACAAAACAGATGAATGAGGCTCTAGAAAAATTGAAAACAGAAATAATTTCCCAGATAACTACAGAGATGGTGAGCCAAGTGAAAGACATGATTAGAGACTCTAGAAGAGAAACAGATAAAAAAAAAAATAGATGAGCTCAGGACCATGATGGAAACCATGAATGCCCAGCATAGGAAAGAAATAGAATCCATGAAACAGATTCAGATATCCAGGAGATTAAAACTCTATTGAAAGCATACATAGCAGACTGAGCCAATCTGAAGACAGACTATCAGATATAGAAGACAGGATGGTGGTCAGTGACCAAGAAAAGAGAGATCTCTTAAAAACAGTAAGGGACCATGAGAAATCAATCCAACAGTTCCTAGACGATGCAAAGAAGAGTAATATAAGACTGATAGGAGTCCATGAAAAAGCAGGAGAAAGTACAAATGACATAAAAAACTGTTCACAGAATTAATGACAGAAAACTTCCCAAACAGAGCAAAAGAATTTGACATACACATAACTGAGGCATATAGGACTCCAACTAGCCATGATTAAAAAAAAAAAATCTACATCTAGACACATAATAATCAAGATCCCGGAAACCCAACAGAAGAACAAAATACTACAAGCAGTTAGAGAAAAGAAACAAATCACATGCAAAGGAAAGCCCATCAGAATCACAGCAGACTTCTCAACACAAACCCTCAAGTCAAGGAGAGCCTGGAGTGGGGTATTTCAAGCCCTAAAAGAAAACAACCTCCAACCTAGACTGATGTATCCTGCAAAACTATCTTTCAAAATTGATGGAGAAATGATAATTCCATGACAAAGAACACCTGAGAAATTTAATGAATACCAAACCAGCACTCCAAACAATTCTAAACAATATCCTAGAAAAAGATAACGAAGGTCACAACTCCATGAGGCTGAACAGAGCAAAGTCATCAGGCAAGGCAAGAAATTAAAAGAAGAGGGGAAAAAATAAAAAAGAACCAACAACAGGAAAATAACACGGCAATGATAAGTCAATACATATCAGTTATAACCATCAGTGTTAATGGCCTCAGTTCACCAATCAAAAGAAATAGACTGGCAGAATGGGTCAAGAAGCAAAATCCAACAATATGCTGTATACAAGAAACGCACCTAGTTCAAAAAGAAACTCATAGACTGAAAGTTAGAGGATGGAAAACAGTTCTCTACACGACAGGAACCCAGAAAAAAGCAGGGATAGCTATCTTATTTGCAGACAAATAAATTTCAAACCAAAACTAATTAAGAGAGACAAAGAAGGACATTACATACTTGTAAAGGGAACAATCCAAGAGGAAGAGATTGACAATCATAAATATCTATGCACCAAATACAAATGCCCCCAACTATACAAAACAAATAGTAATGCACATGAAAAACCAAATAAGCACTAATACAATTGTAGTGGGGGGACCTCAAAACCACACTGTCACAAATAGATCATCTAGACAAAAAATCAACAATGAAATACTAGAACTGAACCAAGCTTTTGAACAAATGGACTTAATAGATGTCCACAGAGTGTTCCACTGCACAAAATCAGAATATACATTCTTTTCGGCTGCACACGGGTCATTCTCCAAAATAGACCACATACTAACTCATAGAACGTGTTTAAGTAAATGCAAAGGAATTGAAGTTATCCAGTGTATATTATCAGACTATAGTGCAATTAAACTAGAGATCAATAGCATAAGAAACCACAAGAACTTCACAAACACATGGAAATTGAATAACACTCTCCTGAACAACAAATTGGTCAGAGGAAATTAAAGAAGAAATTAGACAGTTTTTACAGATAAATGATAATGCCAATACAACATACAGGAATCTATGGGACACAATGAAAGCAGTTCTATGGGGCAAATTCATAGCAGTGAATGCCCACACTAGGAAAACAGAATGAGCTCAAATAACCTAATGCTGAATCTTGAGCTCCTAGAAAAAGAAGAGCAAGACAAACCCAAAGCTCATACAAGAGAGGAAATTATAAAGATCAGAGCAGAAATCAATGCAATGGAGACTAAGAGAACAATACAAAAAAACAATGAATCAAAAAGTTGGTTTTTCAAAAGAATAAATAAAATCGATAAACCCTTAGCCAACCTTATCAAAAAAAGGAAAGAAAAGGCTCAAATCCATGCAATTAGGAACAAAAAAGGTGAAGTCACAATAGACACAGCAGAAATCCAGAGGATCATCAGTACCTACTTTGAGAACCTGTACGCTAATAAAATGGAAAGCACAGAAGAAATGGACAGATTTCTAGATACATATGAATTACCAAAGTTGAACAAAGAAGATATAAAAATTCTAAACACCTCCAATTACAATCAGTGAAATTGAAAATATAACAAAGAAAAGCCCAGGTCCTGATGGCTTCACTGCTTAATTCTACAAGACATTTAGAGAAGACCTATTGCCATTACTCTTTAAACTTTTCAATGAGATTGAAAGGGAAGCAATACTTCCAAATTCATTCCAGGAAGCAAGTGTTACTTTGATTCCAAAACCAAGGAAAGACCCAACCGAAAAAGAGAACTACAGGCCAATCTCCCTAATGAACACAGATGCAAAAATCCTCAAAAAGATGCTGGAAAACAGAATACAGAGGGTCATCAAGATCATGCAACCTGACCAAGTTGGATTTTTCCTAGGGATACAAGGATGGCTCAACATACGCAAATCAATAAATGTAATACACTATATTAACAGAGTCAAGGACAAAAACCATATGATCATCTCAATAGATGCAGAAAATGCATTTGACAAAATTGAACACCCATTCATGATGAAAACCCTGCAGAAAATTGGAATAGATGGTCTTTATCGCAACTTGATAAAGGCTATGAAAAACCAACAGCCAACATCATCCTAAATGGTCAAAAACTGAAAACCTTAATGCTAAAATCAGGAACAAGACAAGGATGTCCACTATCACCACTCCTGTTCAATATAGTTTTGGAAATGTTAGCCACAGCAATTAGACAAGGGAAAGAAATAAAAGCAATAAAGGAAAGGAAGAAGTTAAACTGTCATTATTTGCTGATGATATGATACTCTACATAGAAGACCCTAAAAACTCTGCCAAAAGACTTCTAGACTTAATTGACAGAATCAGAGTAGCTGGATACAAGGTCAACACTCAAAAAACAATAGCCTTCTTATACACAAATAACAGACACACTGAGAGAGAAATTAGAGAAACAATCCTTTTCACAATAGCACCCCCAAAAATGAAATATCTAGGAATCAGTCTAACGAAGGAAGCAAAAGACCTCTACATTGAGAACTACAACATTCTGAGAAAAGAGGTCGAAGAGGATATAAGAAAATGGAAAGACATCCCCTGTTCCTGGGTAGGAAGAATCAATATAGTGAAAATGGCCATACTTCCAAAACTGCTATACAGATTCAATGAAATCCTGATTGAAACCCCAACATTATATTTCACAGAACTAGAGAAAATAGTCCAAAAGTTCATCTGGAACCAGAAGAGACCTGGAATAGCAAAAGCAATTCTAGGCAACAGGGTCATGACAGGGGCTATCACAATTCCCAACTTGAAACTGTACTACAAAGCCACTGTGATGAAAACAGCATGGTACTGGCAAAGAAACAGACCCAAGGATCAGTGGAATAGACTAGAAGATACAGAAACAACTCCAGACATACTCAGCTACCTCGTCTTTGACAAAGGAGCCAACCATCCTCACTGGAGGAAAGATAGCCTCTTTAATAAGTGGTGTTGGAAAAACTGGATTTCAACTTGCCAAAGATTAAAACTAGACCCCTATCTTTCACCAGGCACTAAATGAATATTGAAGTGGATTAAAGATCTAAATATTAAAACAGAAACACTAAACTTGCTGGAAGATAAGTTAGGTAGAACTCTTGATGACATTAGCATAGGAAAGGACTTTATGAACAAATCCTCAATAGCATGGGAACTAGCACAAAGAATCAACAACTGGGATATCATCTTATTAAAGAGTTTCTGCACTGCAAGAGAAACCACCAACAAGCACCCGGAAGGAAGCTCCCCGCCTCCATCCCAGGCTCCTAGGGAAGAGAAGCTGAGCCGGTCCCAGAACCCGGAAGGAAGCTCCCCCGCCACCATCCCAAGCTCCTGGGCAGGGAAGGTGAGCCGCATGGGTGCCAGAAGACAAACCACCAACAGAGCTGAGAGACAACCTACAATGAGGGAAAATTTTTTACTAGCTGTTCTTCAGATAAATGTCTACTATCTAGAATATATAAAGAACTAAAAAAAAAAAAAATCAGGGGCCGGTGATTTAGCTCAGTGGTTCTGCCGCTTGCCTTGCAAGCACAAGGTCCCGAGTTCGATCCCGGTACCTAAAAAAAAAAAAAAAAGAACTAAAATAAAATGATTTCATCAAAAATTATTTTTGATGATCTCTGTCTTGACAGTGTGACCAGTTCCTCTTTGAATTTTTTGAAAGCAGAGAAATGGAAATGGTCTGATTTGCAATCCAGTAGCTAAAGTCATTTATTTTCTACACTTACACTAATTTTAAATTTAGCCTAGTCTGGTGCTCAGGAAGTTTTTATACCCAAGGGCAATGTCCAACACTTCGTTTAGACTGTTAATGACACCATCTTCTGAAAAGTACAATTGTAAGGGTGAGAGTTGCCTGCCTTTGTGTGACAAGCACAAAGCCTGTTTCAGGCAGGACTATTTTAGGAAAGTTGAGGATCTAGCAATCTGTTTTCCTTAAAACTCTTTGTGACCACATTCCCCCTGGAAACCCTTCTCATAAGAACTAACCACACCCTTTGGCCCAGCATCTTTCCATTCTGTGCTTGTTCCTCAAGAAAGTCATGCAAGACCAAAAGATAACAACCTATATATGTATCTTGCCTAGTGTGGTAGTGCACACCTGTAATCCCAGCACTTGGGAGCCTGAGGCAGGAGGATCCCCATGAGTTCATGGCCAGCCTGGGCTACATGGTGAGACCCTGTCTCAAAAACAAAAACCAAAAGAATAAAAAACCTGTATATGTATATTCTTGGCAGCAAAGCCAAACTAGTAATGATTTAAATGCTTAACATGGAGGACTAAATAAATGATTATTTTTAATGGAATGGATTATTAGATAACTTTAATATTCAACTGATTTTTTTTTTTTTTTTTTGGTACCGGGGATCGAACTTGGGACCTTGTGCTTGTGAGGCAGGCAGTGGAACTACTGAGCTAAATCCCCAGCTGGATAACTTTAATATTAAAATTAAAACATAAACTTCATTCTCACATGAAGAAGTAAACAGGAATCAAGGAAACATGAAGGAATATTGCTGCTGAACTTCAGTATTATGAGCAACTAGAGGTGATTCATTTTTAAAAAAAATTCTTAAGAGTTTTTCAAAACTTCTTAGGTAAATGATTTTTTTTTTTGGTACTGGGGATTGAACTTGGGTCTTTGTGCTTGCACAGCAGGCGGCGAAACCACTGAGCTAAATCCCCAGCCCTAAATGATTCTTTAAGTAGACTTAATAACACATGTGCTCTGACCCAGCGACCCTAATTCTGGAAATTGATCTTACCAATGTACTTTGCATATATGTGAAGTAACATGTACAGAAGTGTTTATCACAGTATTGATTGTTATAGTGAATGGCAAAAGATGGGAACCAAGTCTAATGGCTGTTTATAGGAAACTGATTAAATTGTGGTCTAAGCAACAGAATGCTATGCAACTATATAAATAGGAGGAGGGTACTCTCTGTGTATTTTATGTACTTATGGAGAGTATACCTAAAGGATATCTATAGTGTAGGGAAAATAATTTATTGTACTCTGTGTTTACATTTGTATAGAGAAACTCTGGAAAGTTGTGTAATAAAATGGTTATCTTTTGGGGGATGTGGAATGAGAATAAGATAGCACAAACTTTGCTATTCCTAGCTTTTTATTTTTTTGAGACAGGATCTTGCTAAGTAGTCCGGGGTGGCTTGAACTCTCCATGTAGTCCAGGCCTGCCTGCCTTGCTTTGCTTTGCTTTGCCCGCCCTTCCTTCCTTCCTTCCTTCCTTCCTTCCTTCCTTCCTTCCTTCCT